ATGGAGACAGAACATTTTTATTTTTGAAGATCCTCATATAGCATATTAGACAAAGAGAATCTCCTGTGCTCAATATTTTTTGCCATAATCTATTTTTATAATGAGAATAATCCAATTTTGCTTTTATAAAGAATAATTATTGAGTACTCATTATTTTAGTTGCTATCAGTTCTCACAGAGCTTAAATCTTACTGAGGGATACTTGTAAATAGCAAGAAAACAAGTAAATCAATTCGATTTTTTTCATATAGCAATAAACGGTATTAAGAAAGTAAGCTAACCCAATGTGATAGAAAATGCACATAATTATGGTTTGAAAATATTAGATAAGGTTATCAGGGAAGAGCTCTCTGAAGACGTGATATTTGAGACAAGATATGGATAATGACTATATGCTCATTCTGCAAATAGTTACATCTGCCTTGGCAAGCACTGATCTCCAACTAAGGATTTATCAAGAACAAACCAGGCAAAACTTTCACCCCTCAGGGAGTGTAATGAGGTGGAAACTGACAATAGATAAATTTTTAAGTAAAATACAATATGTAGGACAGGCTACACACAGCGGATCTTAGGTTCAACTAAGCATTGAATACCTGATAACCACAAGCCATCACTGGCAACAGAAGGAATGGCCAGCAGGGCATGTTCAGACTCTGTAGTGGTTATTGATTTGTATGCATGGGACTCAAAGCTGGACAATGAAAAAGGAAACAGAATAATTGATACATTCCAATGATAGTGTTGACAAAGAATATGGACTATACCAAGGGAGACTAAAAGAACAAATCGATCAATCTTAAAAGGCATTCAATCAGAATGCTCTTTGGAAATGAGGATAGCAATATTTAAGCTGACTTATTGTGAATGTCATCAGGAAAGGACAATTGGTAGAAAAGAACACCCTGCTTGGTTGAGGGTCACGTAAATGAAAGAATCTCTCAATGACATGGATGGGCATCATAGCCACAACAATGGACTGAGGATGGTGCAGGACCAAGCAATGTTTCTTTCTGTTATACATAAGGTTGCCATGAGTCAGACAGAACTAATTCAACTGCAACTAGCAACTGCAACACAGAGGTGGCAATTCATATAGCTAGCCAAGAGCTATCTTCTCCCCAGGGGATTCAGTTCAGATGCAAGAAGACAAGATTGATGTGGTATTGCAGGATCCATCTTGGCTAGAAGCCCAGTGCTGCCCAGGAGCCAGCAGCTTGGTGACAATGTTACAGACGTAGCCATCAGGAGTCACCATAGATGTCATGATAACACTCATTGGGAAGTAAAGCATAATGTTCCTACCAGGAAATTATAGTTCTCTCAAATCAGGGTTAATTTTTCTGGAAGCAACATTGTTTAATAATGCTATTGATATATACCATCTTATCAAGGGTTTCCAGGATTCTCAGAGGTTCGGCAGTTACCTCATGATATAATTCAGCAATTATGTAATGATGTAAATTGGTAATTATGCATCAATGTAATCTGGCAGTTACAGTGATAAGGCACCTTCCATTTGCGGTCTGATGTGTTCATCTCCCATTTTCACATGTGCCAAATAAACATTTTTTAAAGAAGGTAGGGAAAAACAGACTATATGATTTTCAAAGACAGGAAAAAATAATAATTATGATAATGTTAATATACTTACTTCATCTCCCTCTTCAATTAATGCTTGGATGGCACTAAAAAGTGATCCATATGCTCCTACTGTCACCAAGATTTCTTCATTTGGATTGATCTGGTTTGGATAAAATTTTCCGTATAGGCAAGACAGAGCTTTCACAAGTGATGGATGACCCTGTTAGATGAAAAGTATGAAAATGAAACTTGGGTGTGAGTATATCCCCTACTTCATTATGTTAATATAGCTTTAAAATATAAAAGTAAAATTTTTTTGACATTTATAATAGTCAAAAAGAAATTAAATTTAAAAAAAATTTAAACCTTATTTACAGATGATAGCCATAAAGGTTAGAGATGATAATGAAAGGAGTCAGTATCTCTAAAGACTGCTGTGGTTGTTCTTCCTTGTAGGTCAGATATTCCAATGGGAACTGCCCTAGCTGAACTCAGACACTTAACTACAATGGGTGAGATTGGATCCCAGAGTTGCAGAAGCCAATTAGCAGGACTTAATCATCAAAGACAAGGTGATTGTGGCTACCATGATGGCCAGGAGCATTAAAGCAGTAACCAGAATCGCGTGTCTTCTATAGACTTTTGTCATGGTGTCCCTAGAGTGAAATACATGTGAAATCTATTAAATACCAACTTGATCTGTTCAAGAAGAATTCGAGGACAAGTGACTGGCAGTCTAAATTGGATTCCCATGATAGTCACAGCTCCTCAATCAGTTCCCAGACTTACGTTTATAGATTTATAACACTGTAAATAAAGGAGAGGCTGGATCCCTTGAGGAAGTTCCCCGCTACATTGCCAAAAATGTATAATAACCTTTCTCCCAGCCTTCTCCCAGGTACCTATTGCCTTTTAGGAGACTGAGTGAACACTAGGGAAAAGGGAACAATTCCGGAAGTACTGACACTGCACTGAACTGACACTAGTTTCACAGCACTCAAAATATCATGGTGACCTACAAGTCAGAGTTGGAGTATATGGAGAAGTCTTAGCTCAGATCTGTCTCACAATGTGATGACTTTCCCAGTTCCAGAACGCATAATTGGACTAGACATACTCAACAACTGGCAGAATCCTCACCTAGTTCTGGCATGTGGAATAAGGGCTCTTATGGTAGGAAAGGCAAAGTAGAAGCCATTATGAGTAAATCTGCCTTGGAAAAAAGTAAAGCAAAAGCATTACCACATTCCCATGTTCCATGAGAACTGTAAAAAGCTGTGAACCCATTGGACTTGAAGAATGTAGGAAAGTGGATCCCACCACATTCCCACTCAACTTCCCCATTTGTCATGTGTAAAATAGATTTTGGGGAATGACAGCGGATTATCATAAACTTAATCAAATGGTATCTTTGGATGTGATTTCATCGACTAGGAAAACTAATACATCTGATACCATAAGCAACTATTAATTGGTACAAGGCCTTTTTATCCAAACTTGTTTCCAAAGATTATAAGTAATCTGCTTTCATCTGATAAATCCAGCAATACACCTGCATTGTCCTACCTCAAGATCGAGCTACTCGCCAGCACTAAGCCATAATTTAATCCACAGGCCCTTGATCACCTTTCCCTTCTACAAGATGGTCACACTGGTCCATTACATTGAAGACATTATACTGACTGGACCTCGTAAGGAAGAAGTATCAATGATTCTGGACTTACTGGTAAGATAGTTGCATGCTAAAGGGCAGGATATTAACTTGTCAAATATTCATGTGCCTTCTACCTCAATGAAATTTCTAGGCATCCAGAGTTGTGAGACATGACAAGTTATTCCTTTTAAAGTGAAGGGTAACTTGTTGTATCTGGTCTTTCTTTCTTTGTCTTTTTGTATCTGGTCTTTCCTACAACTCAAAAAGGTACAATACCTCATGGGCTGCTTCGACTTTGGAAGCAATAGATTCCTAATTTGAGTATGCTATTTTGGATCTAGTGAGTGATTTTAAAAGTTGTTAGATTTTAGTGGGGTTCAGAAAAAGAGGATAAGGTTTGGCCACAGATCCAGGCTGCTGTCAAGTTGCTCTGCACTTGGGCTGTATGATTTGGCTAGTGCTATGTACTTGACATATTAGTGGCAGATAGAGATGTAGTTTGGAGCCTGTTGTTGCTGTTAGGTACCATCAACTCAGTACAACAGAACAGAACACTGCCCGGTTCTGCACTATCTTCACAATAGTCCCCATGCCTGCGCCCATTGTTGCAGCCATGGTGTCAATCCATCTCCTTGAGGGCCTTCCTCTTTTTCCACTGCCCCACCATTTATTTATTTATTTTACAACAGTCTATTGGGGGCTCTTACAGTTCTTATAGTGTTCCATACATGAATTGTATCAAGCATATTTGTACATGTTGTATATTTATCATCATTTCCAAAACATTTTCTACTTGAGCCCTTGGTATAAGCTCGTTTCCCACCCTCCCCCTACCTTCCTACCCTGGTGATTCCTTGATCAATTATATATTGCTATTGTTATTTCATATTTTACACTGTCTGTTGTCTCCCTTCACCCACACTTTTGTTATTCGTCCCCATGGGGGGTGGGCACTATATATCCAATCTTGTGATGGGTTCCCTCTTTCTCCCCCTTCCCCTTCCATCATAATATCGCTACGCTCACTACTGTTCCCTAGGGGTTTATCTCTCCTGAATACCATGTGTCAAGAGCTCTTATCTGTACCAATGTGTGTTCTCTGGTCTAGCCAGATTTGTAAGGTAGAACTGGGTCATGGTAGTTGAGGGGAGGAAGCATTCAGGAACTAGAGGAATGATGTGTGTTTCATTGTTGCTATACTGTACTTTGGCTGAATCATCCCTTCCTTATAACCCTCTTGTGGAGGAATATCCAATTGTCTACAGATGGGCTTTGGGTCTTCACTCCAAACCCTCTCATTCACATTGATATAATTGCTTGTTTTGGATCTTTTGATACCTGATACCTGATCCTGTCAACACCTCATGATCACACAGGCTAGTGTGCTTCTTCCATGTGGGCTTATTTGCTTCTCTGCTGGATGGCTGCTTGCTTAACTTCAAGTCTTTATGACTTTTGATAGCCAGGCACCATCTGCTCCTTTCACCACATTTGTTTATGCACCCATGTTGTCTTCAGCGATCATATTGGGAAGGTGAGTATCAAAGAGTGCCAGGTCATTAGAACAAAGTGTTCTTGTGTTAAGGGAGGCCTTGAGTCGAGGTCCAAAGTCTGTCTGCTATCTTAAAACTTAACATATAAATATATGTACGTTGGTCTTTATCCCTTTCATTATAAATTGGTATATTTACATGTATACATGCCTATAGCTAGCTATACCTTTATAAAACTTTTTGCCTCTTATTTCTTTCCTCTATTTCCTTTCACCTTCTTCCTATCCCACTATCATACTCACCTTCCATTCCGCTCTCAGTAATTCCTCTCAGATACATTACGTTTGATTAAACCCCTGCCCCACCATTTTACCAAACATGTTGTCCTTCTCCAAGGACTGGACTCTCCTGACATGTCCCAAGTAGGTAAGACAAAGCCTTACCATCCTTGCCTCTAAGAAGCACTCTGTTCATATTTCTTCAAGACAGATCAGTCTGTCCTTTTAGCAGTCCCTGGGTTTTCAATATTTTTCTTCAGTACCACTATAACCACTGCTTAGTGCCTGACCTCTAGTTTGTGAACTTAAGCCTGTGGAAGTCTCTGGCCTGCCACCTGACCTGCAGACTGTAGATTTTCCAACCCTTGCAACTCTTTGAGCCAGCAGAGGCCTCCAGCTTCCAACATACCCTGCAGATTTGGGGTATGCCAGACCTTGCAACCATCTGAGCCAGTAGAGTTCTTCAGTCTGTCACTTACCTATGGATTTGGGATTTGTCAGCCCTCATAATTTCGTGAGCCATTTCCTTGAAGCAAATTTCCTTTTTTTGGTAACTGTTACCATTGGTTTTGCTCAAGATAGTCTAAACTAAGACTCTTAAGTAACCTTTTGCTTCACTAGAGCTAAACTCTGATGTGCCAAATCACTGATTTTTCTGCTTACCAGTTTGTTACCATTTATTAGTTTGTAAGTTTTCATAGTTTATACAAGTGGAATCATATAGCATATACACCTTTGTTTTTGGCTTCTTTCAAAAGTATTATTTAGAAATTCATCCATGTTATGGTTCATCAGTACAAGTAGTTTGTTTCTTTTTGATGGTGAGTAATAGTCTATTGAAGAGCTATATCATGTTGGCTTCCTTCATTAATCTATTGATGAATATCTGTGCTATTCTCAGTTTTTTGACTATTTTGAGTATTGTTGGCATGAACATTTGTGTACAAGTCTCTATGTAGATACTGGTTTGAATTTCTCTTGGGTGAATACCTTGCAGTAGAATGAACGGGTTACACAGTAGATATTTATTAACTTTATGAGAAAACTGCCAAATAATTTTCCAGATTGCTCCAGTTGTTCCCTATCCTTTCCAACACTTGGTATTATCCGTTTTTAAAATAATGTTATACATTCTAGTGGGTGTGAAATGATCCCATTGGTTTGATTTATATTTCTATGATGAATCATAACGCTGAGAATATTTTAATGCTACTCATGTGTCCAAATCTGTTGACAATTAAATTTTTCTTACTGAATTAAAATATTTCTTTATATAGCTTGTTATCTATCTGCCTGCCTATCTATCTATCTATCTATCTATCTATCTATCTATCTATCTATCGCCTATCTATCTATACACGATTTTCTCTGACTTTCCTTGTCACTCTCAGCCTCACTGCCTTTTCTATGCTCCCACCCCCAAAGCGAAGTCCTTCTGTGGACTTTTATAGACTATAAAAAGATTGAAAATTAAAAGGCTTCTTCTTAAAGCCATCCCTTTCTGTTTTCTACACTATCACAAATGAAAAATAAAGGTCAGACACATAAAATTGAATTTCAAAAGTGTTTCTGAATCTAGGAAAGCCCCAGATATCCATGGAAAATCAAAGTTGGGGTTGGGATAGAGAGGTGGAAAGTAACTAGCTGAGAATAGGAGGATGATTTAGAAGCCAGTGTTGAGTTGCATACATATTAGTCAGATAGAAATGACAAGTCTTAAGAGAGTCGTCTATCTTTGTTGACATAAGGTTCCATCCTGGAATGACAGTAAGGTAAGAGCCAAAACAGGACTATGAAGGTGTTGGATGTAGGAGAAAACTCATCCTAGAGATAAGGGTAAGGGAAAATTGGAAATTAGAGATAAGAGGATCTTCCTACAAACATGTACACACATGATATAAAACACAAGCTCATGTCCCACATGATTTTCCCCATGCAGAAACACAATATAAAACACAAGCCCATGTCCCACATGAGCCCAATATACTTACAAAGCCCCGTGTATACTGGTTCATGCTATTAATTGTTGTAGCCTTTGATAATTCTTTCGTTACATAGAGGGGAGGGGGTATATCAGGAAAGCCTTGGCCAAGATTCACAACAGAGGGGTCTGCAGTCAACTTGGTAAATTCAACCCTGAGATTAAAACACACACCTATTAATAACTATTATAATAATAATGTTATCTTTTCTGGAGTTCATGGCCAAATTACAAAACTTAAACCATCAGACCTAGTTTCGTTTTACAAATTTAAAAATAAATTTCAGCTTCCAGTCAAAGTTTCACCATCCACAAGATGACTTTACCTATAAAATGATAGTTGAATGAATGAACTTTAACATTCGCTACAAACCTCAATTCCATTGCATTCATGTCTTACCAGACGTCCCCCCCCCCTCAAAAATTCTGACTGCTACAGGGTTCTCTATTTAATCATTAAAAGTAGAACTAGAATGATGGTTCATGAGGATGTCAAACAGATTTGACTTTTGTGTCATATTTCTAGGACCTATCCTTAGCCCTGGTGGTGTAGTGGTTACATGTTGGGCTTGCGATCTACAAGGTCAGCAGTTCAAAACCACCAGCCTCTCTGAGGGAGAAAGAAGATGCTTTTGACTGTTACAGTGTGGGGAACTCACAGGGCAGTGAGTTCTACCCTGTCCTGCAGATTCGCTATGAGTCAGAATTGACTCAGGTAGTGACTTTTTGGTTTATCGCGGGCCCTGGCACATTTTCTAAACGAATAAATCAACATATCAATCACTTTCCTCCATTTACTACCCACAGAAGTTGTTCCTTACTACTTGCCATGCAAAAGTAGCATCTACAAGTGCAAAGAAGGTAAGTTATTACTAGGAACGGTGCAGGTCTTCCTGAAAGCAGGGTTGGCATAGGTGGGATAGTGGTCCTCAGACCTTCTGCAATTGGATACAAAGCTATATCTATGCCCGGTGTATATTTTTCTGAAAAGTTCATAGCTCTGAACAAATACTGAGCGAGATTTATGATCCCAAATTGATTAATTTAAAAGAACAATGTATCATAATGTACAACAGGTATAAAACTTCAGGAACAAAACCCTTTTTTTTTTCATTCACAAAAATCTGTAGAAACATCGAACATAAAGGCAGTAAAAGAAAATGCTTGTATTAAGTGTTTTAATTCACATTGTTTTGCTCAAGTTAGCTCCAGTGTAGATGATAAGTTAGTAATAATAGTGATAGGATAAAGAACTCCAAGGTCACTGTCATCAAGGCGCTTCTGACTCATGGTGACCCTGTAGGGCAGAGTACAAGTGCATCCATCTGTGGGTTTCTAAGACTATAACTCTTTGTGGGGATAGAACTTTATCTTTCTTTGGTGGCGTGGCTGGTGGCTTCAAACTACTGACCCTGTAGTTAGCAGCTCAATGCCCAACCGACGATGCCACCAGGGTTCCTTAATGATCATGTAAAAAGCTTTGCCATCAGGAAGAGTACGTTTGAAAGCGGATTACTAAAACTCCTCTAGTCAGAGAACCACAAATCCTTCGTTCAACCCCACCACCAGCTTCTCTGTAGGAGAGAAACAAAGCTGTTTGCTTCCTTAAAGATTTGTTTGCTCCCTTAAAGAAACAAAGCTGTTTGCTCCCTCACAGTTTTGGAAACCCTATCTAGAACTGGTTTGAGTAGGAAGCAACTGGATGGTAGTGGATTTGGGGTTATGAGCCAGAATTGACTTGATGGCAGTAGGGAGGGGGAAGCCTGCCCAGGGAGGGGCAATCTCAGCCTCAGATTTGCCCAGGCCTGCCCTCAATGGATATTGGGGTACCAGAGCCACATGGTCATGAGTCATACCCCAGCCAAGGTGGTCAGAGTGTTAGGCAGCTAGCTTAGGGACAAAGAAGTGGGTTATCCCTCCCATGCCTGCAATGGGCCTCATAATGGGGTTGCAGAAAAATCAGGCACCCTATTAGACAACTATGGGAAAAACCCAGAACTGAGCATGCTCAGACACAAATCCCCTAGGCCCAGGTAAAACCAATACCTTCGGCACACCCACCTTAGATACATCACACAGGTGGGCCCAAACTCAACTAATGTAATTGGCCAATACCTTCAACCACACCTCTCCCAGCCAAGGGTCGGGACAGAAGAAAGGCAGGAAGCACAGCCCCCAGCAAGCTCTTTTGGTCTCTTGCCTTCTTGGTCCCAGGGGATTCTCCAGTTCTGCACGTGTAGGTGTTCTTTTCCACGTGGCTTTTAGTGCCCAGTTGTGAACTCCAGTGCAACTTCCACGTGACCTGGCCTGCTTTGCAGACACAGTGTGTACCCTTTAGAGACTATAAAACCTGAAACTTTCCCTTTTCTTCATAAAACCTCACTTGGATTACAAAATGTGCTTTGACATGAATTCTTTCCGCGTGCAAACAAAGAACCTAGGTATAACCCATTGCAGAAACCTAACAAGAGGGGTCCAGAACCCACTCTGTAAACTTTTCTAATCTGTAAAAATGTAACGCTTGTCTAGTTGGACTAGAGTTTGGGCACAAAGGTAAACACTGTATGTGAATTATTTTATTTAAGTCTCACAATAATCCTATTTTACAATAAGGAGATTGAGCTCATATTGATTGTCTAAGCAGGGTTCGCAAATATGTTTTAAAGGCTTTGTGGGTCATAAGATCTCTGTTGCAACCATTCCACTCAGCCACCATAGGAAAACGGCAGCCATGTAAGTGAATGACTGGGTCAGACTTATTTACTCCAACAGGTGTCTGGATTATAACTAAGATACATCAAGTTGTCTTGTTAACAACCAAGTACCTATTAGCAGCCAGAGATGCTAAACTTGATAGAAAATCCAATATCAACATTCAGCTCTTAAGAGAATAATATACCGTACTCCAATTAAAGGTGTTCTAGACTGAAGGCACTCATCTTAAATAATATTTTCCTTTGACATATTTACATCTAACAGATGACTTATAATTAGCGATTTTTATTCACAGACTATGTATAAGTCTAGAAATTCCCAACTGATGATATAAAGTATATAGCAAACCATTTCACCAAATTATTTTTCACGAAACATACTCACCACACATTACTATCGAGTCCTTCAATTCGTTTTGTGTTTTTGAATTTCAAAGACATTTTCTGGAAGACATAATTATTGAAAAGTTCTTAAAAACTGCTTTCATTAAAGTACAAAAAAGGTAAAAAAGCATGAATAATATTTACTTTTCACCAGGTAAATAAGCTTTACCACGTAGTACCAAAACAAGAAATGAAACTGAGAAAGTACTCCACCACTGTTCTGCCAGTCTGTCATCGATGGTGACCTCGGAAACCAGGCCACTGAGATTTCAAAAACCAGCAGGGTCACTCATAGTGGATAGGTTTCAGGGAAACTTCAAGACTAAGACAAGTTACGAAAAAGGGCCTGACAATTTTCTTCTAAGAAAACTCTCTGGCGAGAACCTTCTGTAGAGCAGCGGAGCACTGTCTGTTACAGTGCCCGAAGACGCGCCCCTCAAGGTAGAGGGCACTCAAAGAGGACGGGGGAAGAACTGCCTCTTCAAAGCACGGTCGACCGTGATGCTACGAATGGAGCCAAGCTTTCGTCTCGGAACCTTCATTTCCTAACGTGGCACCACACAAAAGGAGAAGAAATTATTGCAAACAAGCAAACATCCATTAAAAACCAGCTTGTGGAATGTATAAAGCCCAAATGGCAAGGAGAAGTTGTCAAACATGAAGTGAAACTCAGAAATGTTGACATACTAGGCATTACTGAATTGAAATGGGTTGGTATTGGTCACTTTGAGTTGGGTAATCATGTAATCTATTATGCCAGTGTGATTTCTTGGTGTGTGCTAACATGGCACCCATGAGAAGATAATGAGTGGAGTCTAGCCTATCAATCAGGTCACAACTTGATGGTGCCTCCTTGTGGGCGTGGCCTTCTCATAAGGAGGATGCTAGAACTTCCTCCCTTTCTGCCTTCACCTTCCTGTGATGAGCCACACAGAGACCTGTCCTGGTTCTGGAGATGCTTCTCCTGCCAGTGGATGCACATATCTCTGCAACCACTAAGCCTGTGATCTTCCTGCACTCTGCATCACTGCTTGTGGCTGTGTGGTCCAAAGAGGGATTGATGGACTAGTATTGGACTTATGGACTAGATCTGGGATGTTTTCCTGATATATACGACTTCTTGATAGAAAGCTCTCTCTTACACATACAGAAGTGTCTCTGGATTTGTTTCTCTAGTCAACCTAGCCTAACACAGTCAATGATGATAAATTGAAGTGGAACATTCTTATATTTACTGACAAAAAGAACATTTCCAGATCTATCCTGAACTAACAATGTGTAGTATTAAATTTTGGGGGAGGTGGGGGGCCAGCCCCCACTGATACTACCCACGGGTTCAGTAATGCACAATTGTATGGCTGAGATATATAAGTATTATATTAAAATCATCGAGAGCATGAGAGATATTACAATAGTCCAGTCAGACACATTACATGGTAGCATTGCTCACCTCAGCCCAGCTTGATGCTCCACGTGGAGAGAGGGGGAAGGGAAGGAGCACGGGAAAGGGAACAAGGGAGAGAGGATGGGAGAGGAGAGGGGGAAGAGAGGGGAGTGACCCAGGACCAACGAAAGCCCAGCGCGAGAGAGATCTCTATTGCTGACCCAGGCCTATATACCTTTGGGGGGTGCAAGCCCATTAATTACAGGTAAAGACATACGTCACAGGAAGGGGTTGCACTATAGGTTAGACAGCAATGAGAGGGAGTGGTCTAGGGACATACACGCAATAAGAAGAGGAGGGATTGGGGGGTATACATGTGACAAGATGGGCGGATCCTAGATTTAGGATGGCAGCTTAACTTTGACCTGTTCCCTGGGTCTCCATAGGAACCATTATCAGTAGGGTGTAAACTCCGCCTACAGCCTGTCCATTGTCCCTAGCAGCAGGGATCAGGCCTACTGCAGTCTGGCAACTGATCTCAGGGAAGATGCCTGCTAGCATCTATCCCCCCTCCCCCCCAACAATGGTGTCAGTAAAAGGACAATACCCCTATGTCTACAAGGAAGACCATTAATATGACTGGTATTCAAGTGCACACACAAATCAATAATGGCAACACTGGAGATTTTTACTAACTTCTGTAGTCTGAAGTTGACCAAACATGCAATCAACACACATTGATAATCAATGTTGATTAGAATGCAAAGGTCAGAAAAAAGAAGAATGATCAGTAGTTGGCAAATATGGGTGGCATTGGTAAGGAATGATGCTGGATATTATATGATAGAATTTTGCAAGAAAAACAACTTATTGGTTGCAATACCATATTTAAACAACATAAACATTGATTATACAATTGGCTATCACCAGATGGAACACACAGGAATCCAATTGAGTATATGAAGTGCAATATCATCAAAGAAAAGCAAGTGTTGACTTTGAAACAGATCAACTGCTCATATGCAAGCTCGAGTTGAAGTTAAAGAAAAGTAAAATTCTACAAGAGCCAAAATACAACCTTGAGTATACTCCATCAAAATTGAGATACCATTTCAAGAAGATATTTGTACATTGCATAAATGGTGTGAGGGGCACACCTACTTTGACTTCAGTAGGGTGTAAGAGATTACGATTTCATACCAGCCAAAGGCTGATTGCAACAAGGTGAAAGTCAGACAAGTCCCTCCCATCTTGCCTTCCTTATCCGATTCTGACACCAGCTGTCCCTCTCATGGCATTCTACTTCTCCATTGGATCTGACCCATTGAACTTACAGAACTCACACATAGTACACATGATTATGAAGGTTTATTCAAAACCAAAACACCAAACTCACTGGTTTGGGTAAACTCTTAGCAAGCCTATGACAGGGTCGAACTCCTCCTGTGGGATTCCGAGACTGTATTTGTTTATGGGAGTAGACAGCCTCATCTTCCTTCCACAGAGTGGCAGGTGGTTTCAAACTGCTGACCATGCAGTTAGGAGCCCAATGCATAACCACTCCATCACCAGGATTTCTGATGAAGGTTTATTCGGGAAGAACACTTGTAAGGATGGTGAAGGGCTGAGCACTTTTTGTTCTGTTGTCACGATGCGCCAGAACCCACTTGATGGCACCTCATAACATCGGGGAGGATAACAGATTGCAAACTGGCAAGGATAAAGTTCGTATGTCTCAGCCATGCTAGTCCACTCGTCTCTCTTTAGCCTCTCAGCCACATGGTCCCTGGGCTCTGCCTCCGTGGGCCAGGAAACCTGCCTACTTCTCCGCCTCCCAGTCTGGGCACTGCTTCTCTGCTCTGTCTCATGGTCTCAATGTGGTGGGCTCTGGTGCCTCAGCCACTGAAGGCAGGAATCTCACAGGTATTTCACTAGGGACTCTTCTTTCTTTCTTAAAAAAAAAAATCACTTTATTGTGAGCTTTTACAGCTCTTATAACAATCCATACATCAATTGTTTCCATTACATTTGTACATATGCTGCCATAATCATTTTCAAAGCCTTTTTTTTCTCTTGAGCCCTTGGTATTGGCCCTCTTTCCCCCTCCCTTTACCTCCCCCCCACCCTCGGGACCCCTTGATAAATTATAAATTGTTATTATTTTCATATCTTACAGAATTCCCTGTCTCCCTTCACCCACATTTCTGTTGTTCACCCCCCTCATGTGTGTGTGTGTGTGTGTGTGTGTGCTATGTCATTGCAATCAGTTCCCCTTTCCCCCTACCTTCATGGTATCGCTACTCCCATTACTGTTCCTGAAGGGTGTATCTGCCCTGGATTCCGCACTTATATGTACCAATCTACCTGCTCTGGTCTAGCCAGATTTGTAAGGTGGAACTGGGGTCATGATAATGGGGGAGGAGGGGGACATTAAAGAACTAAAGGTATGCTGTGTGTTTCATCGGTGTTATACTGCACCCTGGTTGGCTCGTCCCTTCCTTGTGAGTCTTCTGTGAGTGGATATCCAATTGTCTACAGATGGGCTTTGAGTCTCCATTCCAACCCTCCTCATTCACAGTGAAATGATTATTTGTTTTGGATCTTCTGATGCCTGATACCTGATCCCGTCGACACCTCGTGATCATACAGGCTGGTATGCTTCTTCCATGTGGGCTTTGTTGCTTCCCTGCTAGATGGCCGCTTGTTTAACTTTAAGTCTTTAATTAAGACCCCAGACGCTGCATCTTTAGACAGCCGGACACCATCAGCTTTCTTCACCACAACTGCGTATGCACCCATTTTGTCTTCAGTGATCATGTCAGGAAGGTAGAATGCCAGGTTGTTAGAACAAAGTGTTCCTGCATTGAGAGAGGGCTTGAGTAGAGGCCCAATGTCTGTCTGCTACCTTAATACCTAACATATAAATATATATCCATAGACCAGTGGTTCTCAACCTTCCTAATGCCGTGGCCCTTTAATACAGTTCCTTATATTGTGGTGACCCCCCAACCATAAAATTATTTTTTGTTGCTACTTCATAACTGTAATTTTGCTACTGTTATGAATTGGGCGACCCCTGTGAAAGGATCGTTCGGCCTCCAAAGGGGTCGAAACCCACAGGTTGAGAACTGGTGCCATAGACCTATATCCCTATTGTTATATATTACTGTATTTACATACACACATGCCTATATTTGTACCTCTATAAACGTCTTTTGCCTCCTAGCTATTTCCTCTATTCCTTTTACTCTCCTCCTGAGCGACTCTTCTTTCTTGATGTCACTGAATTTCCCTTTCTGCTTCTGAGCTGACTCACTCTCATATTCAGTGGAATGGCAAAACTGACCAATCCCCAAGTTAGAGTCCTCTATACCTTACTTACATGCTTCTACCCAATCATTTGTTAGGAATTACAAAGACACAGATATAAAAGTCATATTAAGCAAAATAACTTCAGCACATGCAATGAATACTAATGACCAAAGATCAGATGAATTGTGGGATCATATCAAGAATATCATACATGAAGAAAGCAAGAGGTCATTAAAAAGACAAGAAGGAAAAGACCAAAATGGGTATCAAAAGAGACTCTGAAATTTGCTGTTGCATATAGCTAACTAAAGTGAATGGAAGAAATGATGAAGTGGTAAACAAGTGGCCATCTAGCTCAGAAGCA